CCCGAACCCGCCCCGTGAAGAAAAAGTAAAAAATAAAAATAAAAAATAATTTTATTTCTAGGCAATTCATCCATTAAAAATTCATTTTAAATTTGCATTTTGTTCTCTAATAATAAAATAATTCGAAACTTTGAAAATGTAAAAAAATTAAAATTAAAATTAAAAAAAATTAAAAGAGGCAAAAAGTTGCCCCCGTCCCTGCGCCCCACCCCGCCCCATCTAAGGCGGGATGGGGCACTGGACGGGACAGGATTTTAGCCAAATGGGGTGGGGCCCACGCCTCCAACCCACCTCATTGCCATTACTAATTTAGAATGACTCATAAACAAGAAACATGCATGTTCTAAAACGATTCTTTACTTAATTGAGGATAAACTTGATTAAAGAGAATAATAAAAAAAGGATTCTTTACTTGATTAAAGAGAATAATAAAAAAGGGATTCTTTACTTGTAATTTGAAAATAATAATAAAAAATGATTCTTTACATGGACGGGCGCACTCCAAAACCCCACCCATCCCCCCAGTACATTACATAAACTTATATATAGGTCCATATCCCGCACCACTCAACACAATTACAAGCTCCCTATCATCTCATATACAAGAAATAAATACATAATTTTTTTTCCGTAGTTTGTTAAGTATGGAAAACCACGTTGGAGTGGCGAAGGACTACCGCGATCCACTGCCGGCCCCGCTGATTGGCTTGATGGAGCTTACAAAGTGGTCATTTTATAGAGCTGTTATAGCTGAGTTTATAGCCACCTTGCTCTTCCTTTACATTACGGTTTTGACTGTGATTGGGTACAAGAGCCAGAATGATACTCATTGCGGCGGCGGCGGCGTCGGAATTCTTGGTATTGCATGGGCATTTGGTGGCATGATCTTCGTTCTTGTCTACTGCACTGCTGGAATCTCCGGTGAGTCTTGTTTATACATATACATACATACATCAGATGCATAAATGTAATGGCATATTTCATGTCATGTCCATCTCAGGGGGACACATTAATCCAGCAGTGACATTCGGGCTTTTCTTGGCCCGACAGGTGTCAATGATCAAAGCCATTATGTATATGGTGGCTCAGTGTTTGGGGGCCATTTGTGGCGTCGCGCTGGTGAAGGCGGTACAGAAGTCACACTACAAGAAATATGGCGGCGGCGTAAATGAGCTCTCCGATGGCTACAGCACCGGCGGCGGATTGGCAGCAGAGATCATCGGAACATTCGTTCTTGTCTACACAGTTTTCTCTGCCATTTATGCCAAGAGAAAAGCCAGGGATTCCCATGTCCCTGTAAGTGCATATATACAATTCTCCATTTTTGACCTGCTCGATAATCTACTTATAAGTACATTTAGAGCATGTGTTTTTCAATTAAACACTTGGTAAGTGAATGCCATGCATTATGATACCATACACGTGAAACTGCAAAACTTCGTGGTTCAATAATGATACCATGCACGTTGTACTGTAAAACCATATTGTCCATGCATCATTATTACATCAATATGGAGTTCCAATTTTTTTTTACGATAAGATTTGTATTGCTTGAGTTTGAAATCGAACTTGTCACAGTTAATCTTATTTTGAGCTCGACTTAATTCAGTTCTTTTATCTATACGAAAGGAGCGAATATTGATATTTTTTGTATTTGAACTTGAATCATAGGTTTTGGCACCTCTCTCAATTGGATTTGCAGTTTTTATGGTTCACTTGGCCACTATCCCGATCACTGGTACTAGTATTAATCCAGCTAGAAGCTTTGGACCTGCAGTGATCTACAACCAGAAAAAGGCTTGGGATGATCAGGTTAACATAGCCTAAAAGATTTATAACGAACTAAGGGTGCTTTTGGTTTGTCATTTTCAGTTTTGCAAAATACTGAAAACGTGTTTGATCTGTTATTTTAGAAAATGCAGTTTTGAAAATAAGCCGTTTGGTATCCATTTTTTTCAAAATGAATTTTTCT